ACTGTATTTGTAGAACATTTTGTAAAACCAGGCTCACTAATTCTGCATGAAGGTAGAAAAGCAGCTTTAATAATTAAAAGAACAAAACTTTTAGTAATCTGAATAAATATATATAAATATTCACACACATATGTATATAAATTTATTTTTTAGAATGCTTGCTCTTTGCAACTTACGTTTTTCTGAATAGAACTCAACACTCGTAACCTCATTCACACCGTTTACCACAATTAAGCCGCAAATAAATGCGATTTTGTATAAACTTGAAACTTGTTTGACAGTTTGCAACATTTTGCAACACAAGGCTAAAAATTTAGAAATATTCACGGGGTAACATTCAGAGAGTTAACCGCGCGTTAAGACGGTCTATAGGCAAATGAGCACGCAGCTTTGATTGACTGCTGTTTTAATGGATTTTATAAACTTGAGCTCGACGTAAAATAAAGAATATGTATGTATTTACCATTTAGAAGTTATAATCATTGACTAGAATCAAGCGTTTGCATAAATTAAAAAAAAAAAATTTCTTTAATTTAAAAGTGCTTATTAAAGTTATATTTAGAAGGTGTTGCTTTGAACTGTTGCTTTCTGCGTTGAACTTTTGTCCTACGTTTCTATAAATAGGCCTCATAAATTCTTTTGCATTTTCATTTGTATCTTCATTTATTCAATAATCTTATAGTTACTCATACGCTACGTCGACCTGTTTATGTGTCAACTGCTAGTAAATAGATTTGAGTATGAATATCATTAAGATAGATGGCTGTGTTATAAACATAATACAATAATTTTTAATTAAAAATACATTTCGGCTAGACTTTGCTGGTCACTGTGTTCTTCCAATAAAGCTATATATATTTTAAAAGAAATAGAAATATTTAAAAGAATACAATTAACCCGTACACTGCGTATTAAAGTGGCAGTTCTTCCGTCCGTCTGACTGTGCAAGCTGTAACTTGAGTAAAAATTGAGATATTGTAATTAAACTTGGTACCCGTGTTTCTTGGCAAAAGAGTAGGGACGAGTTTGTAGATGGGCGTAATCGAACAACTGCCACGCTCACAAAGCGCCATTAATCGAAAACCTATAAATTGTCATAACTAAGCACTAAATTAAGATATAGTACTGTAATCTATCAAAAGGGATCGTAGTAGAAAAGGACACATGTGTGCTGAAAATTTTGAAAAAAGAGGCGTGTCTAAGCCCTCTAAAAGGTTTAATATGCATATCTCCCAAACCATTTAAGCTAAAATACCAAAATTCATTCAGAACAAATTATTTAAGCACCCTTACCGACAGAGTGAAAATGGATTAAATCTGATGATGATACTGCCCATTACCCATATAACGGTACTAAAACTACTTAAAGCGTGATAAAGTAGTAACTAAACACGCCAGTGACATTAAATTTTACCCTTGAGATGGTATGAAAAGATTTTATAGGATCAGGGGTCACATATCTCTCCATGATTCAGTGCGAAAATGTGCAACATCGAATTACAACCACGCCTACTGCCCATATAAAAACTTCACCTATCCCTATATAACTAATATCAGGATTTTCGAAAATCCGGCTAACTTTACTCTATATGATTGATGATGGTATGTTAGATACCTTTGTAAAACCCACTGAGCATTTTATTAATATGTGGCATGTTATTGGTATGTGGTATTCACAGAAATAGATCAAATCAGGTCGCTACTACCCCCAACACCCATATACTACGCATAATGATTTTTGTTATTCTATCAAGTTTTATACCGAATATGTCGGTCAGTGAGTATTATTTATGTATAGAATTGCTTCAAAATATGTTCTTAAGTATACTTGAGTAATGCCAAAACTAATGCAATCAGCCCGTACACCATAAAATGATTTCCGTTTTTCCACCTGTATTTTAACCGTTTAGGTTGGTCAAAATGTGTGATATCTAAATGAAATAAAATTGACAAGTTTTCTTAAAAATATGTGGATTGGTGCTGAATTTGAATGGAATTGGTCTACACCTTGGTCTAAACCTCATTCCTAAATCTAAAAAATTTTGATCCACTGATCGACTTTGTCCACTTAAACTCATTATTATACTCTCGCAACCTGCTACAGAGTATAATAGTTTTGTTTACCTAAGAGTTGTTTGTATCACCTAAAACTAATCGAGTTAGATATAGGGTTATATATATATAAATGATCAGGATAAAGGGACCAGTTGAAATCTGGGTGATTGTCTGTCCGTCCATCCGTGCAAGTTGTAACTTGAGTAAAAATTGAGATATCTTTGTGAAACTTGGTACACAAGGTGAAATCGGGTAACAACCCCGCCCACCCCATATAACGGTACTTTGAAGAACTACTAAAAGAGCGATAAATCAAGCACTAAACACGCCAGAGTCATTAAATTTTATCTCTCGGATGGTATGAGATGAATTTATAGAAACCGCGTTTCAAATTAGACAGTGGGCGTGGCACCGCCCACTTTTAGGTGAAAACCCATATCTTGGGATCTGCTTCATAGATTTCACCCAAATTCGATACATAACATTCCTCTCATATTTCTATGTTATATTGTGAAAATGGGTGAAATCGGATTACAACCAGGCCTATTTCCCATATAACTTGCCAGTATGCAAATCAAGCAACAATGATTATATCGGCGTAAAACTTTGCTTGAATAATGCGTTTAAAGTGTGCCACTTTGTGACCAAAAATTGTCTAAATCGAAATGAAACTGTTCAAGCCCCTAGGTACTGAATATGGGAACCACAGTGCCTAGATATATAATTAAAATTCGGAGAGGATCCTTTGACTGATAATAGTATGTCAGTACGTCAAAAATGGGTTGAATATTCATTAACCATATACCTAATATAAAGATTTTCGAACTTCCAGGTGACTTTATTCTGCATATTGCAGCAAATAAGTAAGATACCCTAGCAAAATTTTATGGAATTATAATATTGGATATACTATAGTTTAATGCCGAAAACATGTGACCCAAACTATCATAATGTATATTTGACTTAAATCGAACAAATGTACACAAAGTTATCATCTTTTGAAAAATCAATAAAAAGCCGAATGAACTTTTTACTTGATCTAATATTACATATATTGATTTTCTTTGTTCTAACAAACCATAATCATCTGAACGTATTTCCCCGGCTTTGATCCTTGCAAGTTGCGAGAGTATAAAATGTTCGGTTACACCAGAACTTAGAACTTCCTTACTTGTATTAAATTTATCTTCTTCGATCGAGTTATTATCACTACATATACCTATATTGTATATCTAATTTGAAGCTGTTTTTAATATAATTTTAGCTGACAAGAACTAAAATATAGCAATACAATTGATTTCATCGAACAATGTATGTTTAACTCTTTCGCCACATTTTTAATATAATATATTTACTAACACCTGAAGGTATTTCCCTAGCTTTGGTTCTTGTAAGTTGCAAGAGTTACATCCGTTCGGTTACATCCGAACATAACCTTTCCTTACTTGTTAAGGTGTACTTGTATACATATATATATATATATATGTACATATACACTTCGTGCATTATTTATTATATTCATACATCAGTATGTGAAAGAGCTTGGATTGGAGATGATTGAACTGCATTCTTATAAGTATAGCATACTTTTAGGGAGACGTCTTAAGTCAGAGAATGTCAATGTTACTTTTCTCTAATTAAGTTAATGTTCATTAACATTCTCTGCTATTGTGACAGAACTTGCAAATGAATAAATTTGGAAACGTTTGATGCATTTAAAATGCCGAATAAAGTCTACTAAAGTTTGCAATGAGTTGCGCTATTTTAGCTTTTACTTAATTGGAAAAAAGCAACTAAAAAATTAAAAGGAAGATATTAAGGGACACAGTTATCCAATTAATGCACCAGGGGCCGCATGTCAAATTTCTCTTGCATTTACTTGTATGCTTGTACACATGCTTACTTTACAGATTTATATCACATTATCACCAAATAAAGACGCATTTGGGTGTTAAATTACGTTTATTACGTTTTGTAAATCTCTTAAAATATCTGGATATTTTCTATAAACTCAATAATTATGACATTTTGTGTTTTATACTTACGTTTTCCCCTATGCAAATAACAATAAATTAAATCGTAACAGTAATATAAATTAAATTCTTAACTCTTTTTTTTCAAAACTGTCAACGACTGTCCTCTTCCGATAGCTATCAGACTCTTCAACACCCCTGAGAAAGTCGAGTAGTTTTTAAAATATAGGATTGCAACTAAAAGTGGGCGGTGCTACACCCATTGTCAAATTGTATCCTTGATTCCTATGGAACCTTTAAGTATCATCATGGCTATGAAATTTAATGCTTCAAATTTACTTATTTATGTAGCTAATACACTTTTTGTAGTCTTTTACATTGCATTCCACTCCGACAACTTCGTTGACCTGATTACGTTTGGTTGATATAACTTTAATGGTTAGTAAGATATAAACAATGAATCTATTAGAGGGTGGGGTATGCTGGCTTTTAAACAAATTTCAAATCAAAGAGATATTTGAAGCAATATCCTTATATAAAATGATAATTTCATTGCTAAACGTTGTTATAGAGTATGACTTAAAACTGCAAAAGTTGATTTTCGAGATATGCAAATCGCGGTTTGTTATGCAAATGCTCATATGTAGCTGATTTTAATTTAGAACTTGAGTAAAATAAAAATAAAAAAATAACTTCCACAAATTTTGATTGCAACAAGAAGAAATATGCCAAGTGTGAACGATTCAAGGTTCCTATTAGTATGCGTGTATGATGCATTCGGAAGTAGGAATTATGCATTATCGTTTGTGCAAGATTTGCCATTTTATGAAAACTATGACTAATCGATCATTAGCGTACTTATATGTTTATAATATTTATTTGAAATATTATACATATGTTATTGAATTCTACTTATTTTCCTGTTTATAAACCTTAAATGTTATGGAATTCAAACTAAAAATAATTTTTTTTGTCTATATTTATTTAATTTTTAAGTACATAAATAAAAAATACTTTTACAATTAATAAATCATGTAATAATCACAATAATTGTTCTTCCAAACGCTCAAAAACTGTCGACTCAATCTAATTTTGAGGTCAACATTCAAGGCAAATTGTTGATAAAGAAATTTGCTGGTACAAATGAATAGATTTTCGTGAAGCGATCCTTCAACACCAGTTCCAGCGTTTGCTCTAATGTTGGCGCTAGAGTTCCATATAATTCGCGCCAGTTTTGATTGAATAGATCATTGGCGGTATATTCAAGATCGCGCTGGCCGCCAAACAAATTCTGCACATCTATGTGAAAGTCGCCGATATTAAGGATTTTCGCCTTAAGGCTTAAGATCTCGGAGAATACTAAATCATCTGTGCGACGCAACCTCGTTTTAATGTTGAAAGACAAGATGATGTTCTCTGAAAAATATTTGTGAACATTATATATTTGCTTAAATACGATTTTTAATCAAAGTCGAAAAGTTAAAAACCCTAACAAAATCAACATTTTAACGTAGATTTTACTCTTACTTGCTACGAAGCTTGCTGTGCCTTGTCCGTTAAGGTTCAGACCCAAAACGGATCCTTTAACCTTGTAATTACCGGTAGCACGCAATTCGGGCAATTCAAGTTTCGCAAACACATCCAATGTATTTCTGTCGACACTATACGTATAGGAAATTTAAAGAAAATCGTCAGTTTTAAAATATCCTTCAAGTTGATTGGCATACTTACGATGCTTCTACCACCTTCGCTCCACTGGCACCGTTCACAAGCAAATTTTCTATTTCGGCATTGATTTGAAGTGCACCACTTTGATTTATCTTAAGGCGCTTTATACTTAATGGTTCTAAAGAACCCAGAGACTTTAAACCAGGAATACCTTATAAGATACAAATATTTTAAATATATTAAGTAGCGCCCAAAATGGTAAGAATCTCACCATCCTTCCATTCGCGGAATAAAACTTGGAAATTCGACGCAAAGCACGTATTTAAGTTGTTACCATTGAAATCACAGGGTTTTAGAAAAGAAGCTATAAATTAAAAAAAAACAAGAATAATGCTAATAAAATTTCGCTTTTTGTGAAGATTTGCATATTAATTTAAAAATTTTCAACTTTATTTTCGTGATGCTTACGTTTGTCCACCAAATGCTTGCCCACCACAAGCGAAGTTTGTAGCGTGAGCACCAACAGAAAACTTAAACTGCACAACTTCGCACTCATTTTGGCATGTAACGGAAATCTAATAATTTAAATTTAATAATTTTAACACTATGAAATTTCTAACGAAATTATTTAATTGAAAATTTTTTCTTAGTATTGCTATTGTGCTGAGAAATATCCGTCGTGCTTGCCGTGCACAGTTATTCTAAATTGAAATTAGTGTCAACCTTTAAGTTTTATATTTGTTACTAATTCATATGAAAAAAATCGTGTTTACTTTTGTGCTGTACATACAGCCTTAGATTCGCGGAACTTGTTTTTGGCAATTTTTGAATTTGCAGAAAATTTCATCTCATGAGTTTTTTTTATACATGCACATTAATATACAGGGTGACGCACCGTAGAATTTTAAAGCGTTGTTTTTTGTATTTTTGCTTTGCTGCAAGGTACAAATAATTTAATAATCTACTTAGTAACGATGTTTCTAATTTTGTTTTCTGGAAATAAATAATAAATTGAAATAAACCTGTTATTTTAGCAGTCAATTATGTAAACATTGATCTCAAAGAGATACCATGTTTTATTTTACATGTCTATCTTAGGTTGGTGCAGGAATACATACATACGTATTCTGTGGTAAATAAGTATTCGTAGATATATCTTTTAGATTAATTCAAACAATAATTAGAAATATTTGAAATGCATAATTATATTACATTATATTTATCCCCTGAACAGGGTATATTATGTTTGCCACGAAGTTTCTAACACCAAGAAGGAAACGTCGGAGACCCTATAAAATATATACATAAATGATCAGCAGGATGAGCTGAGTTGATTTAGCCGTCCGTCTGTCTGTCCGTCTGTCTGCATATATATACAAACTAGTTCCTCAGTTCTTAAGCTATCGATCTAAAATTTTGCATCTGTCCTTTTATCACAATGAAGCTGCTCATTTGTCGGAACGGCCGATATCGGACCGCTATAGCATATAGCTGCCATACAAACTGAACAATCGGAATCATGAGTTTGTATGGAAAACTCTTTCATTTGACGAGGTATCTACACGAAACTTGGCATGGATTATTATTTAAGGCAATAATCTATTCGCCAAAAAAATTGTATAGATCGGATGACTATAGCATATAGCTGCTATATTAACTGAACGATCAGAGTAAAGTGCTTGTATGGAAGATTTGTTTATTTGACGAGGTATCTTCACAAAATTAGGCACGAGTTATCGCTTAAGGCAACAAATTATTTTCTACAGAAATTGGTCAGATCAGATCACTATATCATATAGCTGCCATACAAATTGAACGTTCGGAATCAAGTTCTTGTAAGGGGAATTTGTATTTGTGTAATTTCACCGAAAGGCCACTCATACATATGTGAAATAAAGTTTGGGGACGAAAGCTTTGATAATGACTCTATTTCAATTATAATATTTTAATTTTTCGTGCTTCAGAGAGATCAGTTTTTTTAGTATTAAAAATAATGGCCGAATATGATATCAAGTGATGCTCTGACAGGTTTATGATATTTACATACTTATATTAGATTTATATATTAAAAAGTCAAGTCTGATGTAAACGGTACTACAAGTATCTCTAATGAATGCAAAGGTGGTTTAGGTTGTATTTAATCACAAGGAGTTACAAGTGAAAGCAGAGTGGTAGATACAATGATAAAGAAGACTCGATGCATGTTACTTACCACGCATAACTTTTTATTCGGAACTCGTGCACATCTAATACGTATTATTTGACCTCAACCCAAATAACAACAACTATATTCACACCAAATTCACGTTAATTTAATATATCCTGTTCAGGGTATAAAAATGCGGAGTTTTTAATAGAACGCCATTTAAATTTTTTAAGAATCCAGCTGATGTTTTTAAACTTAGCAACTTAACAACTGCAGTAGATAGTACTTAGTCTATTACAAGGTTTACACTACACTATAACCCCATATACCTATCTTATCTAAGACAAATTCGCAGAAAATAGTGCCGTTATTTATAATTTGTACGCAGTGCCTACTCATATTATATATAATAATCAGTTCACTGTTTACTTTCTTTTATTAACAATGGATTGGGGAGCTAAGGAAAATCGTATTGCGATTACAAAAGTGTGGAAAAAGTGCAAATGAAATTTATGAACTTCTCAAAAATCTTAATATTTCGATAAAAAACGTATACATTTGATGGCAGAAAGTGAAGTGGTCGTCCCCACATGGTTCGAACCAAATTAGCCATAAAAACTGTACGTATTAACGTATTAGCAGAAATCCCCTTAGAAAAAAGAAGATTATATGAAGGGAAACGGATATATTGACCAAATCAATATTAAGATTCGAGATGTTTTCTGACAACTCGCTAGACTTAGCAAATGCAAGAGGCTCCTTCAGTGGTACGCGGTCAACGGCCACGAAAGTATCATTTTAACAAATGAAAAAATTTTCACTGCTGAAAGAGTTTTTAATAAGCAAAACGACATAATCTACGTAAAAACTTCCCGATTCGCATAAAATATTATTCCAAAAGTTCCATGTGGTCACTATTTAGCTGCTTTAATCGTTTGGTGGAAGTCTCATATAAAGGCGTTACACCTTTTCAATTCTGTGAAAAAGGGGTTAAAACTGGGGCAAAAACTTACCAGCACAATGTTTAAGAAGGCGTGGTAAGGCAGTTGAGCAATCCTCTCTTCGCTGGAGAGCATTGGATTTTCCAACAAGATATTGTTCCAACACAAGGCAAAAGCCACCCAGCAGTGGTTTAAAATCCATATACCTGGCTTTATATCTGCAAATGATTGGCCGCATAGAAGTCCAGATTTTATTCCATTGGATTACAGTTTGTGGTCTGATGAACATAAACGGTCGAATACTCCACAATTTTAAATTTTATAAATCGCTTATTTAATATATGCATTAATAAATAGAATTATCGTTATTAAAAAATATATTATAGTTTCCTTTTGAAAACGGCGTTTACTTGTAACAGAACTTATGAGAGGACTAAGTATATACGTTAAATTAGGGTTAGGCGAAAAATTGAAATAAAGTTCTATTATAAACTCCGCATTTTTATTCTCTGAACAGGCTTTATTATATATAAATATGTATCTAAATGATCAGCGTGATGAGCTGAGTCGATTTAGCCATGTAAGTCTGCCTGTCCGCCTGTTTGTATATACCCGAACTAGTCCTTTAGTTTTTGAGATATCGATCTGAAATTTTTCAAACGTTATTTTATCCCCAAGAAGCTTTACATTTGTCGGAACTGCCGATATCGAACCACTATAGCATATAGCTGCCATACAAACTGAACGCTCGGAATGAAGTGCTTGGATGGAAAACTTTTTCATTTGACGAGATATCTTCACGGAATTCGGCAAGGGTTATTTTCCAAGGCAATAATGTAATCTTCGGAGAAATTGTTCAGATCGGATTACTATCCCGTCATACTTTATTGACACACGAATTCCCTTTTTATAAATTTTTCAAAGTACCAAAAAATGGCCTATCTCAGCAAATAAGTTTTCCGATAACTTTGGAAGTTATACACGAGAAGTAGATTGAATCCAAATAGAAAACATATGCATTCAAATCTGGGGCTTCCGCAATTGGAAATTTATGTTGGTAATATTTTTGATCATGTATGATATTAATTTAAGCATTAAGTAGACATTATTCTATAAGAGATCAAAACCACAATACTTGAACGGAATTTAGAAGATTAATCAGTTTCTATATCTTAAAAAAATTCTTTTTGCAAACGATGGCTGCATCTTTTATCAATTTAAATATTTTTTGGCTAATTTTTCAATTAATAATCCCATTTAAACACACTGGATTATATATAACCATACGTTTGAGTTTTCTTGTAACAAACAAGTTAGTACTTGAAAAAAAGTTAATTGTAAAGTGTCAAAACAAAGTTAAAAGCAAAAGAGACCATAAATAATATGGGCTGAATTAAAATAAAATATAATTCGAACTTTCTTGGTTAAGCTAAGTATATTTTACTTTCACTTACTTTTGTATGTATTATGTATCGTATTTCCATAATATTAAGAATGGATGTGCATTCGGCCTTGACTCTAGTCTAGTTGGCGAAACAAGCGATGATACAATAAGTCTACAATAAAATATGAATTATCAATGCAGTGCCGTTGGGAGTATTGATAAAAACAGAAGCAAAGCAGAAATAAAATTATATACGGTTGAAAAACTTGATTCTTCATCATTCAGACCAAATTAAAGGCGAGCAGTAATTAATATGCACACAAATATTTCCAAAACTCCATAGACAAAAGCAAATTAGCATTAAAGTTATTCAAACGAAACTGGCTTCGCTTTAACAATGAATATGCTTCGAATATACATAAACTAAGTAAGAAGCATGGAAGAAAATGTAAAAAGCAATGTGAAATATATTTTTATTTTAATTAACTGCTGAATTAAATCAAATATTTAGCTTTTATTTTTAATTTTCTTAAACAATAACGATAATATTTTCTAAAGTAATATTTTTTTAGACACGGTAGTACAAAATGGAAACAAAAATCCGTGTAATGCTCGGGTGGTGAAAGCAAAAATAATAAAATTTTTCATTAACAAAATTTGATTAGATAAAGCGACATTTCAAACTGAAGATTTTCGAAAACTTGGGTTTTAGAATATTTTCAAGGGGTTACCATCTGTTTTAAAAAAATTATAAAATAAAGAAATACTACAAATTAAGTGGTTTTATTTGAAAACTATTTTTAGAGTGCCACCTTTCTGAAAACTGTTAGTCGAAATATTCTAAAGATATAGAAATACTTTCAGCTAAATAGGTTTTAGAGAGCTTAGAGTTGAAATTTGATAGTTGCCACCATGAAAGAACGTTAACTTCGGTTGCTCTGAAGCTAAGTTTGTATGGCAGCTGTGTATATGCTATGTTCTAGTGACTAGATCTGAACAATTTCTTCGGAGGTTGCATCATTTCCTTGAGCAAAGTCCATGCAAAAGTTGGTGAAAATATTTTCTCAAATGAAAAATTTTACAAAAAAAAAAAAAAAATGTACAAGAGATGCTACTGCGGAGGGCATCTGTGGGCTAAAATATTTTTAAAAGTGAGCTTAGTTTCGCCCACTAAATGGTTTAATGTACATATCTTCCAAACCGCTTAAGATATTTCAACCTAACTTGTTTAGAAAAAGGGATTTTATCACCTCTTCAACCACGCCCACTCCCCATTAAACGTTTATGTTGAAAACTACTAAAAGTACTATAACTTACGGAACAAATGAGCCAAAAGCATTCAATTTCACTACCACGATGGTAAAGAAAGGTTTTATAGGATCTTGTGGGGAAAATTTGACAAGGGGCGTGGCACCGCT